TAAAATAATTTATCTCAAGCTGTTTCTTGGGAATAGAGGATATTCTGGGCTTATTGAGTGTGTTATGTAATATTTCCGTGGGAAAATGCCTCTGAGAACTTGATTTTGTACCTTAATGAAACCTGCGGACAAGCAATTTGGAGCACTGATTCTTTAAACGCCCTTCCTTCTTAGTCACAACTCTGAACTCTTCGACCTTGATTAGTGTCTCTTAAAGTTTTTAATTGTACTTTTGACAAGATTATTAAAATTGACAATACAGACTTCTTCCTTTTTTATATAGGTTATAGCGTAACTTATAATAAAATATTCTAAAATAATAACACTATTAAAATTTAAAGATGAACCAAATTATTTTAAGCAATGCATATTTAATTTCATTGTAACTAGCAAAATATATCAATTTCCCCAATTTTCTATCAGTTTCTCTGTACCAATTCTTAACATGTTTGCATTTGAATTTATTACTCATAAATGAGCTTTTAAGATATATTCTGGTTTAAAATTTTTCAGAGAGGAAAAAATAAAGACTAATGGCTAGAACAATTATACAGTGGATATAGTTGTAGCCTTAAATGCAGCAGACCTGGGTTTGATCTCTGCACCACATTTAATATTGTTAAGATAACATCTTTGCACATTATTTCAAATATTAATGTATTTCCAACACCATTGCCCATACCTTTCCAAACACCATACCCTTGTCTGAAGAGTGATTCAGACAACATAATTTACTCCAATTAAAGTGAATAATTGAAAATTTTAATGTAACTAACAGCATTATCAAAATTTATGAAGTTTTCATCAGTTTCAAAGAAATGCAAAAGCAATTAAAAGTCACTTCCCATTCCACTTCCATTCAACTCTTGGCAAGCACTGATGTACCTTCTTACATACAAATTTATCTCTTCTTTGATATTTTATAAAATGGACTAATGGTAAGTGATCTTTTGAAAGGTGGATACCCATAATATAGTGCTAAGCGGAAAAAAAATGAGACACCAAATAAATATATTTTTGGTATATAGATGGAGATATAGATGCAACAGAATCCAATTTAAGTGTTTTCATCCTAAAGTTTATTCTTTCATAAAATAAATTTAGATCTGCATAATATATGTTTTGGTATTTGGCGAGTATAGCATTACACATTTTTATACCAGGGAATAATTCTGTTACTATCATAATGAAAAAAATTCCTTTTCTTTTTTATGCTATGTAAAACAGTAGAATTTTCTTCCATTTTCTTTCTCCTTTTTTTAACAACACCCAGAAATGTTGGGAGCGACTCATGACTCTGTCTTAGGTCACTATCTGTGGTGTTTTTGGGGAACAGGGTGTCCACAGGGTTCTAGGAGTTGAATCTGGGTCTCCTGCACATGAGCTAATTCTCCATTGCTGAAACTATTTTCTGTGTAACTATAATAAAACTACATTATTTTTTAAATTGGTCATTGGACTTTTCGTAGAATATTTCTAAGAATTGGGAGAAAGTCAGGAGAAAAATTACAAATGATCACAGACATATGCGATACATAAAGAAGTAAAGCAAGGAAATAGACAAAGTCAAATGCAAACAAACCCTTCAACTTTAAAGATAAAATTCACAAAGTTCACAAAGTAGTGAGAGTAGATGAGAAGAGTCTTAGGGACAGTGACAGAGGGATATGAAAACTTTAGTTGTAGATATAGTGTGGTAGTCAACACTGTTCTCCCAAAAAGTATAAACAATGACATTCTTATAAATTAGAATATAATAGGTACATTCACAAATTTGAAAGAACTGATTTCAATATTCTTTGATATTTAGTAGCACTGCATTGTCGTCCAGTTGTTCATAGATTTGCTTGAGCGGGCACCAGTAACGTCTTCATTGTGAGACTTGATGTTACTGCTTTTGACATATTGAATATGCCACAGGTAGCTTGCCAGACCCTGCCCTGTGGTGGGATACTCTCGGTAGCTTGCCGGGCTCTCAGAGAGGGATGGAGGAATCGAACCCAGGTTGGCCACATACAAGGCAAATGCCCTACCACTGTGCTGTCACTCCAGTCCTATATTTAAGACCATATTAAAGCTAAAACCATGAATAGATATATGGTTTTTTACTAAAAAATATGGCCTGATACTGGGTCAGGGCTAGAGAGTTTGATGAGCTCGAGTGCTCAAGTGCAGACTTTGCATGTTAAGGTCATGGGTTTCATCCTTAGCATCACACAGTTCCTTGAGAAACGCTGAGAAACAGCCTCAGTATATCTACAGATGTGCTTCCCAAACAAAATCACATTATAAAAATCCCTAGAAATTATCAAAAACTACATCAATGACCTAATATAGCAATGAAATATTAAATTAAAAATGAGATATTAACAGAATAAATAATAAAAATATCTGAAACATTGATCAATTTCATAAGTAAATATTAAAAAGTATTTTAGGGGCTGGATCGATAGCACAGTAGGCAGGGCATCTGCCTTGCATGTGACCAACCCGGGTTCAATTCCCAGCACCTCATATAGTTCCCTAAGCACTGCCAGGAGTAATTCTTGAGTGCAGAGTCATGAGTAACCCCTGTACATCGCCAGGTGTGACCCAAAAAGCAAAAAAAAAAGTATTTCAAAAATACAGTGTATATTCATTTTAAGTTTACAATGGGCTGGAGCGATAGCACAGCGGTAGGGCGTTCGCCTTACAAGGGGCCAACATGGCCGACCCGAGTTCGATTCCTCCGCCCCTCTCGGAGAGCCCGGCAAGCTACCGAGAGTATTCGATATGCCAAACACAGTAACAACAAAGTCTCCAATGGAGACATTACTGGGCCCGCTCGAGCAAATCGACGATCAACAGGAGGGCCTTAACCTTTACCTTTACCTTAAGGTATTGCACACATTAGGAGCTAACAACTTCTGGGCTGGCAGGATACTTGCCTTGCATACATTAGATCAGATTCAAACACTGGCACCTCATACTATCCCCGAAGCAACACCAGAAATGATCTTTAAATAAAGTGCCAGTTGTAAGCCCTGAGTACTGTACATTATAGTCCCAAAACAAAACAAACAAACAACACACACATACAAACATGCAACACACACACTATCTATATTGTGTGTATTATATATGGGGAGGGAGAGAGAGAGAGAGACAGAGAGAGAGAGAGGAGAGAGCATACATTTTATTCCAGAAGGGTTTATGAAGTATATCTTGTATGCAGCTGGTACATGTGGTCCCCCAGGCATTCCTCAGAGTAGCCCTAAAGGCTCTTAAGAACCCCTGTTCATAACACCACTTCAGCAACTACATCAGCTTCAGTTGATATAGGCAAGGAACTTTGAATATTCTCTGACACATGTACAGATAGACAATGAAGATCATGTCTGAATTGAAAGAGATAAATATCTATGAAACATTGATTTATTTTTCAAATAAATAAGCTTGACTGATGTTCATTGTCATTAAAAGCCAGTGGGGAGACACAGCAGGGAAAGGGACTCAACCCTGCTTCCTGGCATTTTCTCTTCTTTGGCTACTAGGGAACAGTAGACAGGAAGACCAGTGGAATTCACCTTCTGTAAGCCATTCTGGGTAGGCTCAGTTCCCTGTACTGAGCCTCTGCCTGCTGTGACCCTGCAGCCTGAAGCCCATCCTCAGCAATTTCTATCTGTGACCTTATAACTACTCTCTCCCAGGACCAAGCAGGACAGCTCGGCCCCAACACTATCTGTGTCGCAGATCTTCAGTAAACTCAGAAATCCATTCTAGGGAAGCCTGATCTCTGAGTGATCCATTCTCTGGGTATGCCCTTTAACCTACAGGCATTCTCTTTTATCCATACTTAGTGGACAATTCCAAACAAACAACAAATTGTTTTCTTCAAATATCTCTTGCTTCTGTCTCCTGAGTACACTCTGGGGTACACAACTTATATGTTGCTTGTTAAATCCTCCTTGGCAGCACTTTTAAGGGTCAAAACAATCAACTAATTTACAAAATATGCACATGAGAAAGAATGAATGAAAAGCTCAACATGATGGTTTGTAATTCAAACATTTATTAAAATAACAAATTATTAAGGAATATACAATATGTACCTGGCTGTATAATGTGGTGATCCATATGAAAGTGTATTTTAAATTAATTCTACAACAACAGTGTGAATTTAAAGGTGAATCATGGACTTTAGATCATTCAATTGCGTTAATAGAGACATCCTCTGTATAAACTGTAACTTCTCATTTAGTGATATCCCTGGGGGTGTATATATAGGTGAGGGAATTGGGGGATGGAAATTCCTTCTATCTTATTCTTAATTTGGATGTAAATCAGGAGTAATAAATTAATGTAAATATAACTCTGGGTATAATTGTATTGCTTTTGAAAAAAATGAGAACTTTATAAAATGGTAAGAACAGAAGTTTTCAAAATTTAAGTACATTAAAGAAATTGGTGCCTACAAACATAGTATCTTCTATCTAAACAGGATGCTTGAGTAATTCTTTTTCTAGAAAAATCTACAAAGAAACATTTTTTCGAGTTTTCTGTAGAACTTGCGAACCTAAAATATAGAGAATAATATATAGTTAATATTGAAAAGTCACACCTAAAAGATGATGAATACACAGTATATTTGGAATAATAGCCATATGTCAAAATCTGAATAATTCATGTAAAAAATTTTAGTAAAAAAGATTGGTATCACATCTATTCAGTTATTCATCTTTCTTTCTAAGATTAATCACAGTTACACATAGGGGCTGGAGAGCTAGTACAGCGGGTAAGACGTTTGCCTTCCACGCGGCAGACCCGGGTTCAATTCAAAACATCCCAACATCCCATATGTTCCCCTGAACACCGTCAGGAGTAACCCCTGAGTGCAGCGCCAGGAGTAACCCCTGTGCATCGCCAGGTGTGATCCAAAAAGCAAAAAAAAAAAAAAATACTAAAAATAAAAAAAAAAATAAGCACAGTTACACATAGAAATATAAGGATGTTTAAAAAGCTTACGACTTGGACGAAAAAACTGAGCCACCTGACCACATCTGGACATCATCATTGCTTTCGTTGAAGGGCCCACTCCAAGGCAGGATATCAAAAGCCACAAATATATTCTATGAAGAAAAGGGTTATGAAAAATCAAAATTTCTTATATGTTAGTTTTAATGTTTGTAACAAAATTAAGTTATTTATTTCATTTTTCATTTAAAAATATTAGACATAAATATGATGTTAAGATGATAATTATATTTGAATATAATATAATATAATAGCATTGAATAGGACATGTCAATATAATAATATACAATAAGCTAAGTCAAAATGTGAGTTAAAATATATTATCTAAAGCAAAAAATTACTAAATTGAGTAAAAATTTGAGATACAAAAACATAGAACTGATGAAACTGAAGATGGTGTTGTAGAGACTTTTCATGTTAGAATGTGAAAGATAATAGAGAAAAAATAGAGAAATCTCATAAACTTTTACAGTATAAGGGAAGCAATTTAGGTTTAAATATAAGATGAGACTAACAAATACAGAAAGGAAAAGAAGTGCTAGAAACAATAAAAGAATAAGCTTATTTCATTCAAGAATGTTTATAAACCTGAGACATTTCAAGACAATATAATAAAAAAGCTAAGCAATTGTTAAAGACAGTGGTAAAATAGATAACATTGAGGAAAGTGGCAGGACAATGAGGTAACTTGAATCATGTGAAAATCATATTCAGTGATTTGGCTAAAGGAGCAAAGTCCCACTATGCCTAGGTCACCTCACACATAACATACATGTGTAGATAAAATTAGCAATTTGCAGGATGAAGAAGCCCCAGACTCGTATAACCCCATGGAAACCAAAACTTAACACAGTTAAAAAAAAAGAACATACAGAATTAAACTGATATGTGATGAGATAAAGTTATGCGACTATTATGATGCTGAAAGCCTTGAATAAGATACAAAACTGGGAGTATGGTGCTGCCAGCAGGTCAACCTACCTGCGGCGCAAGTGCATCAGTAGCCTGATGGTGCCTTCAGACTTCCTGATGCCCCAAATTGCCCCTGTGCCTTTGGTCAGACCTCAACAACTTGGGGCCAAGTTCACCAAGAAATTAAACGGCCATAAGTTAGGTATGTGGGAGCCAACCCACAAACCACCTCTGGCTCAGCTATACAAGTCAATTTATTAGCCTTATTTCAAAGACCCATAAATTTTCAAAGAGGTCCAAAACCACAGTTAGGGCTGTGGTACCCTATGGGTGAGCTTGAACAAAGTTACAAAATTATTAAGTAGGGAGTATAGTCTTTCTCAACATATAGAACCAGTTGGCTACAAATATGCAAGTAAGGTAAAGTCACTGTCACTGTCCTCCTGTTGTTCATCGATTTGCTAGAGCGGGCCAAGTAACGTGTCCATTGTGACACTTTTTGTTACTGTGTTTGGCATATTGAATAGGTCAAGGGGAGTTTGTCAGGCTTTGCCTTGCAGGCGAGATTCTCTCAGTAGCTTGCCAAGCTCTCCGAGAGGGGCGGAGGAATTGAACTGGGGTCTGTCGGATTGGCTGCATGCAAGGCAAATGCCTTACGCCTGCCCTATCACTCCAGCCCCTCAAGGAAGGTAATTTAGTCCATATCACATGCTATAAAAATCTTAAAATACCTGAATGTAAACTATAAAATATGAAGATGATATATTAGAAAATATTTGCGGCCGTGCAACATCTTATTATCTTATTTTTACTTTGGAGAGCCTTGCAGGCTACTAAAAGTATCGTGGCTGCATGGCAGAGTTTGGCAAACTTCCCGTGTCGTATTCAATACGCCAAATACCAGTAACAATGATGGGTTTCATTCTCCTAATCCTGAAAGAGCAATGAAATGGCTCTTTTAAAATCTCAGGGCCAGGAAGAAGGATACATTACTGGTGCCTGCTAGAGGAAATTGACTAACAACAGGATGATCGTGATCATGATATTAGAAAAATGTGGATGCCATTGAATTAGAGACAGAGGTCAGTTTGACATCAGAGGAATGAATTATAAAAGAACTAAAGTGTACTTAATGAAACAATTTATTTCTAAGACCTAAGGATAGTTCAGAAGGTTAATATGTTTGTCTTTTTGTCCTGCATGTGTGTTACCCTGGTTTGGCACTGCCAGCATATAGACCCTCTAAGTGTGGTCCCCAAATTGAAACCAAACCAAATAAAAAAAAAAATCAATTTTTTTTATTTTATGAAAAAAATTACATGTGATAAACTTTGAAAAACTATTTACAAATTAGGCGTCTTTAAAGATACTTGTTTCCTCAATATATAAAAATCTCTCAAAATGTAATTATTAAATTTAATTACTAAACTTAATAGCACTGCACTGTCCTCCCGTTGTTTATCGATTTGCTCAAGCTGGCACCAGTAATGTCTCACAACAAATTGTGAGACTTGTTTTCACTGTTTTTAGCCTACAGAATACTTCAGGGGGAGCTTGCCAGGCTTTGCCGTGTGGTTGAGAAACTCTCAGTAGCTTGCCGGGCTCTCTGAGAGTGGTAGACGAATCGAACCTGGGTAGGCCATGTTGGCTGTGTGTAAGGCAAACACCTTACCTGCTGTGCTATCACTCCAGCCCTAGTAAACTTACTGTAATTAAATAATTATCAAATTGATAATTATTAAAAGGCACCAATAGAAATTAAAACTTTAAGCCATTAAGTCAAAATAAGATTTTGCATCTCATAAAACAAAAAACAGTTTAAAATTTAAATATGACAAAACATCTGGGAAGGAAAATAAAGACAGCAAGGTAGGAAAAATGGGCAAAAGATACAGGCATTTAGCAAAAGAAAATATTGTAATACTAGTAAACCAGAAAAATATGTGTTCAATACATACCAAATCATTATCAAACAGAAAATGACTATTAAGATCATAATTCTCGGGCCAGAGATGATACAGTGTGTAAGGATTCAAGCCTTGCATGTATGTAACTGACCCGGGTTTGATTTGGGGCATCCCATTTGGTCCCCTTAGTAATTGCTGTCCAGAACCAGTAGTATACTACAAAAAAACAAGGGTGTGACCCCAAAACAAACAAAAACTAATATCACAAAGATTCTCATATCAGAATTTATAATATTTAAATTACTAATGGTTATAAGTTTTGGATCAAAAGACTATTATGTAAAATGCGTTTTGACAATATTAGAAAATGTCTGAATAATATAACAAATTGATACACACATATCAACTTATCATATATCATATATGCTTATGTCCTAAATTTTTTTGCAATATTTTCATATTAAAACTAATATAAATATAATACAATAACCATAAGAACTTTCATAAATAAACTAGATGTTTATATAACATATACTGTATATAATATACACCTTGTAATGAACTAAGATTTCAATAAAATATTTATAAAATGAATATTTTTAAAACTAACTAAATATGTATATTTATAATCTTAAGTCATCAATAGAACAGTGAAAAATGTAAAAACTATAAACAGAAAAGTAAGAAGGAAGAACATATATGAGAGTGAAAATTCGAACATAATAATATTCTCTTGCATGTGATGCTCACGTTTTAAGAAAATATAATTTATAATAGATTAAAATTCAGAGTACAGATTCAGCAATTAGAGAGGGCAAAAGGAATATACTATGTTTAGAAGATTTTATTTGAAGATCTTACTTGCAAGGACCTGCTTCTTTTCACTTGGTAAATATTTGCAATACAATGTCTAGCTTCCTTGATAAGAAAAATAAGACTTATTTTGGAGTAAGAAGGCACTGATGATGCTGAAGAGATTGCTAGAAGGGGTGGAGCACAATCCTTAGTTGGACTTTTGGCATCACATACAGCCAAGTACTGTGAGGAACAGCCCTGTGACCCCATGAACTCTGCTCTGGAGACCTCCATGAACACAGCACTGTTTTCTATAAAAGCCAGTGAAGCAAAAAGTAACAAATGTGCAAGCATTCCTGGTATAAAAATGCAATCACAATAGCTGAAAAATTGTTATCGTTGAAAAATTTTAGCTAGAGTTAAAAAATGCAATATTAACCTTTGTCTTGCCTGCAGCAGGCCTGGCCTAGCCAGGTTCAATTCCTCCACCCCTCTCAGAGAGCCCAGCAAGCTACCAAGAGTATCTTGCCCACATGGCAAAGCCTGGCAAGCTACCTGTGACTGATACGCCAAACACAGTAATAACAACCTCTGCATGGTGAGACGTTACTCGGTCCACTTGAGCAAATCGATGAAAAATGGAAGGACAGTGCTACAGTGCTAAACTTCAATATCTATAATGCATAAAATATTTAGAGGTCTTTAAACATAACATCTATTGAAATATCATTTAACAAAATAGATACAGCTTTCAAATCTTACCATTTCTTCAGGATTATCTATATAAAGAAGCTTAGATTTCTTAGACACACAGGACATCACACTTTCCTTCCATGTTTTCTTTTCATAACTGATATAATAGCAGCTGTTGGAATATATGAACCACTCCTCTGGACAGTGATTACAATTATATGCTAAAGGAAAATTAAGTCATAATCAAAAAACTATTTGATCTTTAACTCAAATAATATTACATACATTCATAAGCATATGTATGTATGCATACATATGAGAATCATATGGTCCCCTAAACATTTATGGGATGATCACGAGTTATTATTTAAAAAACCCTATTTAAAAATTAGTTTTAAATGTTTATACATATGAATATATATGTTCATGGCATAACTGTGTCCTTCACAGACATAGAACATAAAGTAATGCATCCATATACTGAAAGACATAAGCTTCTGCTCTTATTTCCTCATTGTGTTCCCTTATGAAAAAAAATACTCTCTGCATGTCCTGAAAGACAATGAACAAAATAACAATTTTTGAATAGAAAAATATCATTAAAATAAGGCAAAACAATTTGGGTCAATTGATAACAGTGAGTATAGTTATATGAGGTGAATCTACCTCATTTTTGTGTTATATGAGGTGAATCTTCCTCATTTTAGTGTAAAACATGACTCCCTGAAAAATCATTGCATATGTGTTATCCAATTTTGGCATTCATTATCCTTCATGCAGAGCCTGGCAAGCTCCTCATGGGGCATATTCGATATGCCAAAAGCAGTAACAACAAGTCTCACAATGAAGACACTACTGGTGTTTGCTAGAGCAAATCGATTGACAACAGGAGGACAGTGCTACTGTGCGTTCCTTCAAAAGATTGAAGAACAGTTTCTTAGTGTAGGATGGAGACAAAATACTAATCAAAGTACTTAAAAATTACTAGATGTCTTTATGACTTCTATTATTAAAATTTTATTTATGTTTTGAGAGAGTTGCTCAAGAAGCCTCTGATGCATGCTCAGAAGGTCCATGGCCCTCCTGTCAGTTCTTAATGAACTAGGTTTGTAGTAGGGGCCCAGGGATATGGTATTGCTCCAGCACTGGGGTTCCATGAAGTACCGGAGCTTCTAGGGATGTACACAGACAGGCTGTGGTCTAGGATTGAAGCAGAGCCTGTAGCTGCAAGGTATATCTTAGGCACTGCACTCGTTCTCAAGTAACGTTACTCCTTATTTATTTTGTGCTTTTTGTTTTTTGTTTGTTTGTTTGCTTTTAGGCATATACCCAGCTGTGGCCAAGGCTAGCTTCTGGGTTTGTGCTCAGTAATCATTCCTGGAAGTGCTCAGAGTATTATATAAGATCCCAGGAATCAAACTAAGGTCAAGAGACTCCTTTTACTTCAAGGTAGATTATTTTGTTCCAATTTTTCAGGAACTGTCATAATGGTTTTAATTTTAAATTTGGTGGATTATTTAGTCATTAGAAAAGATAAAATTTTATCATGAAAACTAATTTAATGTTAAGAAAAGAACAAAAGTATCTACTGCAAACATTTGGAATGACAACGAATAAAACCCACTTTTAGAGTCTAATCTTATTTCTATTATATTCCAGTGTATGTTATGTCAATAACAGAACTGTGGAAAGTTTTAGCCAGTTGAAAAAACCAACTACCACCGTGCTCCAGGCCACTTTCCAGATCACGGGGCCACAAAGCAGTCGTGCAACACATCATAAGACACTTCCTATCCATTTTCCATAATTAACACATCATGTTTGATGGAATTCAGACAGTAGGCAACAAGTCACATACATATATATACATATCTTCCTCCTGGAGAGCCCAGTCAGCTACTGAGAGTATCCCAACTGCACAGGCAGAGCCTAGCAAGCTCCCCAAGGAAAGTAATTCTATAAAATGTATTCAATATGCCAAAGCCAGTAACTGTAATAGGTCTCATTCCCTTGACTGTGAAAGAACCTCCAATCATTGTGAAAGACAAGTAAGAAGAGGCTACTAAAATCTCAGGGCTGGGAGAACTAGAGACATTACTGGCACCTGCTCGAGTAAATCGACAAACAACAGGATGACAGTGATACAGTGATGGTGGTTCTGAATGACCATCTTTTCACAATGCTGAATAAGAAGTTCCGTCTTACAAAATGACTGTGAGCATTCACTACCTGATTTTATAATTTCTGATTTCTCAAAAATTCTACTATAATTTCATTTTAATACAGCGTAAAATATAGAAAAATCATAAATTGTATTATTATTGTTAGAAATACATAGAGCATTATATACCTTTCTGAGTCCTGGTCATTAAAGATGCATTATTCAACTCTGGTCTTTCAATTTCAGCATCTAGAAAAATGGAAAGTAATTCTATAAAAATTTATTTTGGAAAAGATCTTCTACTGTGAGTGGCACACATCGGGCAGCTCACTTACTCTACACGCGGAATCAACTTCAAGGGATTTTTGAAGCATAATTTTTGGTATGTTGGCTGCGTGCAAGGCAGATGCCCTACCCGCTGTGCTATAAGGGCAGCTGGTGCTCGTGGATCCTGGTGCCTCCCCCATATTATCGAATAATAATGAAAAGTATAATATTTAATTTGAGATCAATTACATTGTTTTAGGTTAAAATAATCTATAATAAAATTTATTTAACCATGAAATAATATTGAAGACTTGGCAGACTATTTCATAAGCAAAGGTGGAGAATATGACTATAGTATTTTATAAGTATTTTGTTAAAAAATATCTCAAAATGAAAAAGCGTTTCTCAATGAGACATTTAATTCATTTATTTCATCTATTTTATTTATGAAATAAGTTAAATAATATCTCTGCAGTTACTCTATTACTATAATTTTTATATAAATTGCAATGAAATATTTATGTGATCGTAATTTTACAATAATTTAATGAAGGTGCATTTTTATATTTATATTTTTACTATATTTAGAATAATCAGTGTCTTTAAATTAACATATAAGTTTTTTTATGATATTATAAATGTATATAGGCATTGATCATTATTAAATTGAACATTTTCCTTGAAATTTTCTATTGTGTTTTTTAATTTTTTGTTTGAGCAGCAACGTGATTATGCTCAGGAACTACTCCTGCCTCCTGCCCTTTGGTCCATATCCCAGACCCCTTAAACATATTCTTACAGGAAATAAGGATTATGGTTTTCACGAGGGTAGACAGCAAGACCAAGCAGGTAATTCCCAGGACCTCAGCAGTCAGCTGCTCTGGAGGTAAGGGGAAATCTGCAGAAGAAGTAATGGCAACACACAAAAAGGAGAAATGTTGGAAATCATATAATTATTTTCAAAAGAACCCACAAGCACAGGCAATATATCAATCAAACCAGTAGGGAAAATTGTAATCCTACTGTAGAAAATACCATTGCATTTTCAAGAAGTTTAATTTTCCAAGAATTTTTTTTTCAAATTAAAGGTTTCAAATTACAATACATGAGTAAAATTCTTTCTTAGATTTCATATTAGAATTGTATAGTCCAACTTCTTCAAGTGTTGATTCCAAAATGAAAAGTGTATAAGCCTCATTCCGTTTTCTTCCCTGCACCCTCCACACCCAATTGCTCACTCTAGACAGTCAAATGTCTATTCAATACTAAACCTTTGCACTGAGAATAATTGTTAGGCTTTTAAAGGCTCTGAGAAACATTTTCAAGGTTTGCTTCCAGCTTTATTTGCTATTAGTTTGTTACTGAAATGAAGCTATTAGAGCTTACCTTTCATTAACTGTCTTCTTGATTTCAAATTTCGTTGTGGGTCTTTTTCTCTTTGGCGTCTCATCTCTGAGCTGCTTAGTGGTGGGGACTGTGCTGTGTACTGACTACATGCAGCAGTTAATAGAAGGTGTGGCCAAGATCCTAGCAGAGTCACTGTGGGCGGGGGTTAACAATCAAAAACCTGAGTTGTAACTTTCTTAAAGATTTAAACTTGTGCATCATGGAAAAGCACATCTTAAGTTTAATTATTCTAATTTCATGCAATATCACTTGCTGAGAATACAAAAAGGAAAACATTAGAGATAATACTGATAGCAAACAACCAAGGAAAATTACTTCAAATATTTATTTTAAATGATTTTCAATAATATTTTGCCTAAGAAGCTGGCAATTAATTTCATGGCCAATATATACATACAGAGCAAATGAAAGATTATCTATGGAACAAAATTTTTCATCCAAATTTTTATAAAGATGATGTTGGTTTTCAAACCAGTCAATTATCAATTGAAATTTATCAATTTAAATTTATCAAATTAAAAATGATTTAATTAATATACAATATTAATTCAGACTTTTATATTTACAACCTTTGATGTTTAATAAGTTTAAAGATTGCACATTATCCTTAATACAGCCTACTGGTATAAAATAAGAATGAAAAATATGTAGATTATTATTCGTGTGAAACATTTAACAGACTGGCTTTACTCAATTTGATAATATATTCCTGAATTTTTTATACTCACAAAATCACTGTTTTTGATTTCCTATTCATAATAACAAGAATATGTGAGATTCAAAGTAAAAAAAAGGTTTTTGTTGAAAGCTATATGTATGTTTATTATACTTTGTTCAATATTATTAGGGTCTTTCATATTTAATAATTTGTGTAAGCTGGAACATAATGGGAGCTTCTTAATCCTAATGCTTTGTAAGACTTAAAATAATTTTTTAATGTAAATCAATGTATGAAACTTTATGCTTTATCTGTATCATCAGGTATATTCCTTTTAGCAAGATATTTTTGAAGGTATAACTAAAAATAGAGTACATGCATAATTATAGCCAAGCTGTTTACAAATACCAAAAAATAAACCTGCTCATTGCCATGATATTTATAGAGTTTTAAGTTATACTGTATTGATTAACAAAGTCAGGTATATACGTGAATATACAATTGACTGATTCTTCAAATAAAAAAATGAATCATAAAGAAATCTTTTGTATATTTTGTATTTTTTGTCTCTTTCCCACCTTGAGTTTTCAAACAGAGATACTAATATTCTATTTGGTTTGATCGTTTATAAATCGTATCTCAGTTATTTATTTTCTAGCTTTCATAGTATTCCATGAATTGATAGAGAGAAGAGCAGCAACAAACACCTTCTTCTGGGCAGGATGTGAAGTGTCCTATACAGAAAGACAAGGTGTGAAAAGAACTTTCAAGGGGTGAAATATCTGTGGTCTGGACAGACTGACCTGTCAATCTGAATTTAATTCAAGAGTTATAAAAACTAGATTCCTTACTGAAGTGTCACTTGAAATGTCAGCAGGAAATTCTTAAGACTGAATTTAAAGAATGTAAATCCACAATAAAGAGGACTCTGCCACTATAGTTTATCATTTGATTTGTTTATTGGCAAATACCTTGGAAACAAGAGCTGTGTTGAGCTACAAAAGATTTTACCATCCTTTACTGTTAAATTGCTTCCATCTCAACTACAAATACCTTAGATCTCATTAAGCATACCTTAAATCTCATTAAGAATAACATAGATGACTTGCCAACAGGGAAACAACCCAGCATCACAAGAGATCATGATATCACCAATTCTTCCAAGTAGACTGGTCTAAGCTGAGAACACTGGAGCAATCTCACAATGGGGTTGGGCAGGTTCCCCACTTCTCTTCCAGTAGTCCCTGCAGTCTGCAGCCAGAACCAACAGCCTCGGAATTAGAATCGGCCCAGTTTCACAACTGAACCTCATCAAACTGCTATGTCACCAAATTCTTCCAGATCTTTAGCTCATGAACTGTGTAGCCATGCACCTCAAATTTCACAGTAGTGCTGAATAGAGCAAACTGATCGGAATGTTGCATAAAAACCCAACAAGTTCAACAAGCCTCAGCAATAATACAAGACTCAACTAGCACCAAACAGCACCAAAGTTCCTCATTGACCTTAGTAACATTGCTGTGAGTTGTAACAGTTATCTCAAATTGACTCTTAATGGGTCTAAAATTTGATTAGTCCATCTGCCTTTTTGTTGCAACAAACAAGAGGAAGTGAATGTCACTGTGCTTCAAGGTGTTAGGCTGAGGTGGTAGGATATTGTTGGAGGGAAGGACACAGTAGTGGTAGGTTTGGTATGGGAATATTTAATGCGTGAAACAACGGTAATGTGAAGAACTTAGTAAATCATGAGGTTGCAATAAAAAATAACAAAAAGAAACAATGTAGATCACCTAACTGGACTTACTTGCTAAATTTTGGTATCACAAATCTATTCACCTTATAACTCATTATGTCATCTTTAATGGAAATATTTCAATTATTGTAAAGGTAAAGGTAAAGACCCTCCCGTTGATCGTCGATTTGCTCGAGCGGGCCCAGTAACATCTCCATTGGAGACCTTGTTGTTACTGTGTTTGGCATATCGAATACTCTCGGTAGCTTGCCGGGCTCTCCGAGAGGGGCGGAGGAATCGAACTCGGGTCGGCCATGTTGGCTGCTTGTAAGGCGAACGCCCTACCCGCTGTGCTATCGCTCCAGCCCAATTATTGTAATCCCATTAAAATAGGAAATTAATTGTATGTCACTAATTATTCTCAAGGATTGTTATATTTCCTTTTTTAATGACTGATAATTTTAATGTAAGAAATTGTCAATTTTCAATCTATAATTACTGCTTACGTTCTTAGAATTTTCTAAAGTAAATTGTATTTATTAAAAACTTTTAAAAATGATAGGTGGCACCAACAGCAGGTCAACCTGTATCCACAGGGCAAGTGCATCAGCAGCCTGATGGTATCCTCAGGCTTCCTTTTACTCTTCAAATTGCCACTGTGCCTCCAGCGGAACGCCAACAACTTGATACCAAGTTCCTGAGAAATTCAACTGCCAATAGTTAGGTACATGAGAGCCACAGTCACAAACCATCTCTAGCTCGGCTATACAAGCCTTGTTTCAGAGATCCATGAACAAATCTTGAAAGGCATCAAAATCAAAGCCAAAGTTAATCTAGGACCCGTGCAAGGCTTAACAGACTAGGTGAGCACAGGGGTGGGCAGGGGGAGTGTCAGCCTTGTGCCACCCAAGCAAAGCCCCTGGCAGCTGCTTGCTTCCACAATCCAAATTCACATCCACAACCTTAAAGCTTCCATCCAATCATGAACTATTACAGATATGGAGAGAAAGAGAGAAAGGGGTGGGGGGTGACAGAGAGACAAAAAGAGAGAGAGAGAGAAGGGACAAAGAGAGGGAGTGGGAGAGAATGTGCCTGCCATAGAGACAAAGGGGTGGGGCAGGGTAGGACTAGAACCATTAGTGGAGAAAGTATGGGGGTTGGAACAGCTTATGAGTGAAACCCAAACACGAACAATTTTGTAACTGTGTATATCACTATGATTCAATAAAAAAATGTAATTCAACTATCTAAAACTAGCGCATTCTGTTGGGAGGATCCTCCCAGGATGGGAGAAGCATGCTGAAAGTAGACTATAGACCAAACATGATTGCCACTCATTGCCTCTTTTGCAAACCACACACCCAATAGGAGAGAGAGAACAAAATGGAATGCCCTGCCACAGAGGCAGGGTGGGAGGGGGGGAATAGGTCGTGGCAGGGACACTGGGGTCCGTGGTGGTGGAAAAAGGCACTGGTGGAGGGATGAGTATTTGATCATTGTATAATTGAAACCGAAGCACAAAAATTTGTAAGTATACAACTGTACCTCATGGTGTCTCACTAATAAAAATAAAAATTAAAATTAAAAAATTAAAAAAATAACTAACACCTTCATTAAACTTTCCATTACGTTTATTAAACCTACCTTTTTTTTTTTGCTTTAGTTGGCTCACATTGTGATTGTGAGTCTTGCAACATAATGCATTCTTTGTAAATCTAATTTTATATATCAAACTTAAAACATTGATCATAATGAAATTTCAATTGAAAATTGGAATTTAGTTCACTAAAATAGAGAACTATGTAGTATACCAGAGGAGTGAGTGTGTGTGCGTGTGTTTGTGTGTGTGTGTTTTGTATTTAGGGTAGTATGGAGTGATACAAGTCTTTATCCACACAAAAAACAAACAAACAAACAAACAAAAAAACACTACTTCCTGATAAAAATATTGAATGACCTGAACAAACACAGTGACCCTTAGTACCTGTATTGCAAACCATAATGCACAAAAGGAAAGAAAAAAGAAAATTTCCCACCATAAAGGCAGATGAAGTTGTTGGTGGAGAAGGGGAAATTGGTGATTGGTGGGAGGAAAATGGAG